AACCAGATATATGCTACGATTTCCGTTCTATCTGCCTCACGAGGCCTTTGCTGCCCAATATGATGAGGACCCGTTGCAATTCGACGTGGGACGTCTGGCTCCTGAACTTCGCCCTGGAACTTATGATGGCCACCCCGTCCGCCTGGAGAAAGGGGACCTGTGTGTCCCTGTTGGTCTTTACTCCGACGGCGTTCCCTTTTCAAAAAAAGATGGTTTCATTTGTTGGTATTGGTCGAATACAATTACTGGGCGGCGAACATTGATTTGTGCTTTGAAGAAATCTGACCTTTGCCAGTGCTCCTGCAAAGGCACCTGCAGCATTCTAGCTGTGCAGCGCGTCTTGGTCCAGGGCCCAACATGTGTACGCGCAAATCTGCGGGGCTCTCCAGTGGATCCTCCTCGGCGTCGCGGCCACCCCCTCCCTTCCTCGACGGGGGAGGGGTGGCGCCGAGAAGGGTCGACGAGGAACCCCTGACATGGCGCATGTACACCTTGGGCCCCCATCAGGCGTGGAGTTTCAACCAGATGGCCACTGGCCGCTGGCCAGAAGCCGATCACAACGGCGACCCGTTCTTGAATGAGACACGTGCTGCGCAGCGTGGTTTTAATCTCGCTGGTGGGAAATGCGGTGCAGTTTGCGAGTTCCGCGCAGATTTATTGGAGCTAGTTTCATCGCTTGGTCTGAAGACATGGGCAAACCCCGAACACCCATGTATGTTTTGCCACGCTAAGAGGGATGATATGTTCAATTTCGCGCCTTCGATCAGATCGTGTCAATGGGCGGAAAGAAACGCTGCTGATTATACACGGGGTGTCCTGCAATGTTTGACTAAAAGAATGGTGGCTTCAAAAGCACAGTTACGGCGTCTTCTAGCGAAGATGACGTTTGATGAAAAGTTTGGAGGGCTGGGTTTGAATGAGGATTTCCCCGAGCTCGGCCTCCTTGCTGGACACAAGCTCATTGCCGATGAGAACGTGCGGGATATTCACGGAGTGGGGGGTCTCGAGGTGCCTGAGGATGGCCTTATGCTGTCTTTTTGGGATACTAAACAAGTCGGCCCTCTGAACATGATGTGTGTTCTTTTTTCTATAAAAGGGCTCACCATGGAGACTGTACATGTGGATTCAATGCACGTCATTGATTTAGGAGTTTTGCAATTCCTCGCAGGCGCAGTTTTTTATTATCTGATAGAAGGCAATTTCGCCCACAGCAATAAAGCCAGGGGGCACCAAACGCCAGGCGCCTGAAGGCATTTCCCAGGGGGGAGGGCCCAGGGGGGCCCAGGGGACCGAACATGATTGTGAAACGACGGTGGCGCGCGAAAACAAGGGTCAGGTGTTTGTTGGCCCCTGTACTCAACCGTGGCAGCCCG